AGGTGGTGGAGGTGGCTCATCCCCAGCAGGCAAAGGTGGCACTTCTGCTTCAGGAGGAGCTAGCTGCTGCACTTCATCTGAGGAAACTAGATGAACTACGGGAGGCTGAACTTCAGTCGGATCTGCCTGATTCTCCACTCCAGCACCTTGCGCCTCTTCTTCTTCCTCTACGGCCACCAGCTCAGCATTAAAGGCTGGAGGAAAGATAGTGCGTCCCTCTGCATCACACTCCCATCTCAGCTTAATCAGAGGCCGGAAGTCAACAGAGAGACTTTCACCGTCCTCCTCTACTCCTTCTTCTTGTTCGTCGAAGGTGACCGTTGTGATGTCCACTTCTGGGTACTGAGCCATAACCTTCTTTCTACAGTTGGTGAAGGCCAAAATTGCAGTCGGCAACCGGTAGAGGTTGATGACGTTCTCAAAAGTGCTAGAGTTGAGGAAGTTGCCAATGTGCTCTTCCATCCCGTTGTGAATCAGCAGATTCACATTCTTCTTCAGCTCCGCTACTCCTTTATTCATGTTCTCAATGTACTTGTCTTCAGCCTCGAGCTTGTCTTCGTAGGTCTTCCTCTTGCGTTCTTCAAAGGTAAGTCTCGTGCTCAAGGTGTTTCTATCGTTCTGGAGTTCAGTTACTGAGGGCAGAACTTTATCCAGTTTCCTTTACACCTCTTTATTCTTCTTCTACAGCTCCTCCTTCTCTTTTAGCAACTTTTCACACTACCTCTACAAGCTGGTACGATCTCTCACGCTCTCCGCATATTCTTGCGCTAGAGCGTTAACCCAGCTTGCACTCTACAATACAAGCAAAAGTCAGAACTCAAACACAGAAGTCATAAAATCAAAAGTAAAACATGAATAAACTGCAACTTCTTTACATACCTCCAAGGCGTGCCTCACAAAACGAGCCCCCAGTTGGCTCACCACCTTTTCCCTCACCTGCCTCCTATCCACCTTAGGAAGAGTTGCATTGAGGAAGCGCTTCACCCCAGTAATGTTCGTTGCTTTGAACAAACTTTTCTGGAACGAAGGAGGAGGGATGAGTTCCTTGCCTTTGCTAGGGCCTCGCACCTCGGCCTCCTCCCTTTCCCTGACTTCAGGATCCACTTCAGCAGGAGAAGGTCGAGGCATGAACTCAACCACCTTATCCCCCCTAGCTTCTGGCTCT